AATATTCAAATCACTCATAAACCTTTCTTTGCATGTTACTGCTATTCTTTTCGCAGGCAGCAGGGTGTCTTTATAAACGGCAGAAATCAAGTCTTCACTAAAAAATAGTTATATACAATCTCAAACAGCTTGCATGATGGATGGCAGAATTCACAGGCATTCAGTTTTACATTCACTGCAGTTGACTCACATGATCTCCTGGTAAAGGAAAAGGGTAAGATCGCTGGTCTAGCACTGTCAAGCCCATAGAAGAAAGATGCCAGCAAGTAGTGCTCCACTGTGCTCAGAATTATTAAAAAAAAAACATAAGAAGTTGGAAACAATAAATATTATGACTCCATGACTTGTCTTTTCTAACCTGGAAAGGGGATGAGCACAGAAAGCATTGGGAGGGAGTGTGTCTGAGTAGGGAGAAAAAAAAAGAAAAAAGGGCACTGATATGGCCTTCAGAACGACACATAGATTTGAAATTATTTTTCTCTCTTTGAAACCTAAAAAGAACTTGTATATGACGATCCTGAGCTGAAGAGACAATGAATTAGTCCTCCCACCTCCAATTGCCAAAGAAAATCTGCCAAATGTTGGATAAGATAACCTGCTTCTTTTTCATCTGGTTTCCAGTAAAATCCTTCCCTCAAAGCATGGTAGATGATGCAGTAGGTTGTGGACAGTGGCTGGGGAGCTGTGATGTTCAGTGCCTCAGTATTCAGAATGTCCAGAGGCTGGCCCAGGACTGAGCCAAATGGTAGTTATTTGAGCAGGGCTGACTTCAAGATATGAGGGAAGCAATGTAATTCCACCTGACACACAAGGATCCAGGACACTTCACACCACAGTATTTTGCAGCAAAGATATTCCAAGATCCTTACAGTGATTGCTATATATTTTTATCCCAATTTAGGCCTGGTGAAACAAGGCCAGAGAGGTTTAATGTGTTTGTCGAGAAAGTGGTAGAACAGGAGAAGACATCACAGGTGAAATCTTCATCTTGCCAAAATCCATGAGTATTGCTATTATCTTCACCAGACTCACGCTTTCACAAGAAACTTTTCCCATTTTCACACTTTTCCTCAGCTATTTATGCCTTCCATCTTAAAAGTTACAAAACATCAGCAGAACCAGAACTAATTAATCTCATCAAAAATGGGAGTGTGATTATCACTAGCCTTAAGTATCCTAGGAGTTTGTTTAAAGTCAAGAGATACTGGGGAACATTATTTTTCACTACAAACATTGAGACACTTTGTTTGCACGTGTAACTTGTAGAAGAAATCTTTCCCTGGAAGTCTATTATAGAAGTTCAGCAGCTGAGAGGGTGAGTTGGGCCTTCCTCACTAGGACAGACAAATTATCACTTCTGTGGAACACACGAAAAGTTTCAGTGAGCAATATCTGGCCCCAGGAAGACTTGCCTTCTAAGGTGCACTTCACTTTTCTTATATGGGCCCCTCATACCTCTTTTCTCTCAGGTAGAGGAAGGTGGTTAGCAGCTATTCAGCTCCTTGTTGGGTTCCAGCCTTATGTTACTATTAAACAGCAATGAAACTGTTCAGGATGGTTCAGGAAGCGCCACTATCCCTTAATTTTCTGCTTTGCCTTGTTGAGACTAGTAAGGAATTTCCTCTCTCCGAGAAAGGCAATTAATATTTAATCCATCCTCCTTGAATTAAATTGTTATCACAGAAACTAAACTAATTACATCTGAGTAGGTCAAAGAATGATCCAGAATGATTTTTTTTTTTTGTTTTCTAGGGCCACCTTATTTTAAAAAGCAGACACAACTACAATTTTACAGCCCTCCTGATGGATAGAGTAATAACTGAAAAAGGATAAATTTTGCCTCTAAAAGGGCATTTACACAAATGAAAGACAATCTTCACTGCTTCTAGCTATTTCTTTACAACAGAAGGTTGTTTAAAACAAACTAGAAATAATTTTACTGTCAGGAGAGAATGCGTCACCCTTTGGAAAACAGCAAATGAAGTGCATGGGGAACATTACTGTAGCTAGCCTGGTTTTGGTAGGTCAGGTTTTTGTATTGCAGACAGAGATTTCTCTGCAGGGATGGCTTCTGAACTTTATAGTGCTGGCAGGTTCACGGTTTTCTCTTTCTATGAAAATATCCAGAAATTTTGAATCCTGTCCAGTACTCAGGGGGTCCAATTTTCAAAGCACCTGAACAACTATTCTAGTGCAAAATTCACACTTTTCCAGTCAAACTTTCCTCCGCTTGAGCATGTTGTCTTCATATTTCAATTTAACAGCTTCAGTTACAGATTTCATAGTAGCCTTATTATAGTGGGGAACGTGGGATTGTAATGACATAAATTCTGCTGATACAACTCTAGTTAACAGCATGACACCACTATGAATTTTTTCTCATGCTATACATTAACAGCTAAAATTGTATTGTTCTAACATTGTTAGCACAGGAATAGCAATACAAATGGTACCACAGAGCAGCAAACAACCAAAATACTGCAGATATATACTAAGCAACACTTGAGAAAATTCTCTTCTTTCATATGCATATGTCAAATAGGTGCCAAATCCTTAACTTTTGTAAATCAACTGATACCATTTTACAGTCTAACCCTCCCTGAAGCTTCATGTGCAAACATGTAGGGTCTAGACCTCTCTGAGAAAAGCCCATGGCAGGGTAGCTGCAGCACTCTCAGTTGTTCACAGTGTAGCAAATTCTAATCTATACTTTCCTTCAGTTGAATTATCTTGCTAGCAGAGGTGCTCATTTCCCATGTTTGACATAGCAGTAGGCCAGCAGCTGTGCAGAATTCAATGACCCAGCACTCCTATAAATAAGTCCGATTCTCTGCAAAATTAAGTTCTCGAATATTTTGTCTCTCTGGATGCTACCTATGGCAGAGACAAGCCAAGAACTGGAGCCTCAACCACTCCACGATTTCTTTCCACTTCTCACCTCGTAACAACATCAGTGCCTTTCCCTCAGCAGTAACCTCCTAATTCTCTTTCTTGCCAGACTGTGCTGTTCATATTTAATCATATTCACCCAAAGATTTTGGTTTAGAGAAAATACTATGAATGTTTCTCTTCGCTTGGGTGGGTCTACAGAACTCAAGCAAAAATATTGATGAAAGTATTGTACAGCAATTAATCTAATAAAATGTTTGAGACTATGATTGGTGTCCAATATACGACAGTATTTTAAAGACCATATCGTGGTTTTGGCTAGATGGGCCAATCACGGACAACAGATGCTCTGCCCCACTTCTCGCTCTTGGGAGAGGAAGGAGAGAAATAAAGAGATTGATGAGTTTAGAAGGAACTAAACTACTCTAATGAAATATTAAAATACAAAGAAAATAATGAAATAGATACAATATATACAAGCAGTATCAAGCTCCCAGGATGATGTCACCTGCAGGCACTGGGGAAGTCCCAGACTGCACTCAGTGATGGATGGGAACCGGATTCCAGATCCGGAGTCAGGAACACATGGATCAGAATCAAAGGCAGATGAGCAGACAGGGACCTCTTCGGATGTAAGCCATTGAAGAAGGAGGGCTGACCCTTCGATCCCTCAGCTTTTATACTGAGCATGGGGCAGATGGGATGGAATACCCCTGTTGGTCAGTTTTGGGTCACCTGTCCTTTTCACTCCTCATGTCCTGCAGGTGGGACCCCTCTACGCTTCTCTGTTTCTGACCCTCCAATGGGGCAAATAACCAAGTTAGCTGACCTTGGCTGCTATGGAAATAAGTATAAGCAAGAGCCTCTCTGCATACCATTCCTTGGCATTAACTATAAGGATAGGTCTTATTGTTACTCTTACCACGAACAGTTTTCTGCACAATATGCTGTTAATTTCAGAGAGTTTCAGAGAGGCTTAGCTAAGAAGTAAAAATATTGAACAGAAACTTGGTTCTATTCTACCTCAAACCAGGACAGACCACAATCTCAGTTTTACTTTATTCTTCATGTCTTCCTTTTAAAAAAATGTTTAAGACAAAGACAATAGATTTTGTGCTACCACATACTTTTCTGTGAGTATCTAACACAGAACTAACAGAGCAGGATTACCAAACTATGGTATTCAAATAATCAATTTCATAGTGACAATAATCATGTCTTTTCAAAGCAACAAATATTTAGGGAAGATGTTGGAGCAGTTGTTGGTGATACCTACCATGAAGACCACCTAATAGGAAGAGTGATACCGAAGATAATCACCATTGTCAAAGGTGGCACATGGCGAGCAAAGTTAATTCCTTTTCTAGAATATGTAATCGGATACTGTGCAATCATACTTGTTTCAAGTCATAGGTAGTATTGCTCTGCAAACTTCTAGCTCGCTATTCATTATTAGAATAGCAACACTTCTTGAAAACTACTATAACAAAATGCAATTATATAAGTATCTGAATAGTATACGTGTAGGTATAGTTATACATACATATATAGTGTTCCAGTTTGTCCTGAAGCATCTGCATGTTTGCTGTATGCAATGGGACTAACAGATCAATGTAGCAATATGTCTGCATTTGTTTGAAGAATACACACTACTTCAATACTACTCTGTTACCAATAAGGAAATCCTCACATGAGAAAGAATTTAAATATTACCCTCACTTTTTTATCAGATTTCTGCTATAGGCTAATAAGAAAAATACCTTCCCCTTTCCAAATTAACACTATGTTAGGAATAAGAGTCAATAAGATAATTTCATTTCTTTTACTGTTATTTCCAAATATTAGATTAACTTATTTAATGAGACATAATTCCACACTTCGCATTATCACAGTTTTCCCAGGGATCAAAATGGTCACTATCATTTTAACACTTTACTGACTTAATTTCTAAATAAAGTATTTCTATCCTTTTTCACTTTAAGGGGAATTGCCACCATTTACTAGGTTACATAAGAGACAAAGTATGGTTAAAATTTGCTGTGAATCTTTATGTAAGGCCTGTAATATAAGCCTCCATTTGCACAAGTCAAGAACATATTGAAAACATTTACCTGGAATCGATAAAAGGTTCCATCATCCTTTAGTGTTAGAACATGGTCTGAGATTGGAAAGAAATAGCCATGGGCTGCCATCAATGTCCCCAAATGCAGAGCTTCCACTGTTTGACGAACAAAAGAAAGATAAATTTAAAATAAATACCTTCTTTTCATCAGTTTAGTTTTTTTCTTCAGATTCACTGTAACTCCTGCAGATAGCCACTTGACTCTCAGTCAAGGTCCTGCCATCACAAAAGTGCTGTCTTTTTCTATGTAACATAATGATGCAACCAAAAAAAACCCCTCTACTCTCCTTAACTATTAGGTGTCCCATTTGTAGCTGCAGTTCCACTACTTACATCAGCATTAGCAGGTAGCAACCACAATCTCCATTCACTTCTTTTGAAGCTGAAAACAGCTATGATTTTGACCCTAATGGTGCAGCCTGCTTTTCCTCTTCAGAAGAGTTTCAGATTACGTGATGTTAAAATAGTTTATTACAATTGCATGACAACCTCCTCATTAGCTTTATCCAAACTACAGTAAATGATAGAGATTTCCTTAAAAGTTTCTCATTACTGGGAGAATAACAAAGGATCACAGAATCACAGACTGGTTGAGGTTGGAAGGGACCTCTGGAGGTCTTCTGACCCAATCCCCATGCTCAAATAGGACCACCTACAGCCAGTCACCTAGGACCATATCTAGATTACATTTGAATTATCTCCAATTTTTGACCTTACAGTTGACCATACTTTGAGCAGGGGGTTGAATTGGAGTCCTCCTAAGGTCCCTCTCAACCTGAGTGTCAACTCTGTGACTCTGAGCAGAAAGGAGCAGAAAACAGTGATGGAGACAACTGGAGAAGAAATTATTTGAAAGTTCCTGCCAGAACACCCTATAATCCTGACAAGGAGTAAGAGCTTATATTTCTCTCACTGACCACTGAGTCATATATGCAAGTATATAGTCATTACTAGTTCTCTATGCAAAAAATGGAAATAATGACTTGGCCTTCTCCGGGTTACTTAAAATCTGAATTATACCCAATAATTCTTCTTCAGTTATGTATGGAGATTAAGGTGGTTTTATGCTCACCTCAAACAACCTTATTCAGCTAGGATGAATCTACACTAACTCAATGTTAAGGTATCAGAGAGATACCTTAGCCATTAAGAGTAAACATAAACTTGTCACATCGCTTTTTTTTACTTCTGCTAATAGACAATTAATTTTCTTTTTTTTTATGGCTATCAATCCAGCAATGTATTCCAGCATTGCATACACATAAATGCACAAATATACCTTTTAATAACAAACGAAGATCCACTGTAGCTCACACTTGGGAATGTGAGCAGTATCTGCTTTATTAAAAGAAAAAAAAAATAAAAGGAAAAAAATGTGTGTTGTCTAAGACTAAAGACATTCACTTGAAAGTCTAACATCACCTTGGTATAACCTGACAAAGGGACAACTGCATAATCAAAGCATTATCAATAATCTTTGCAGTGAGACTGAATAACCTATAAATCAAATGTGGCTTGAACAGGTGAAGAACATCCACAAAATTCTACCCAGTTAATAATGTCCACAAAAATGTAAGCCTGCCTCACACCAGACTGATAGGGGACTTACGCTGCTGCTCTCTGCACAGCAGCAGTAGAACTTCTGGACAGAAAGAAAAGTCAGCTCTCAGGGGGTTTCTAATGTCCAAGTAAGAAGTTGTCCAGTGTATTACAGACACAAAAAAAAGCAACACTTTTGATATACATCTCAGTTTGCTAAAATCAGACTGAAAATAGATACTGTAAGAAGTCAATGGAGTAGAACAGTAGGATTTAGGAAACAAAACCGTGAGCTTGAAAAGGACAATGTAGCAAGCAGCAGACTAGTCCTACATGCCTAAATGCCTAGAAGTCCAGTTCAGACACCTTCTGAATTCCCCACCTATTCCTGCCTGTGAAGTTAGGAGATTTTTACTTAAATAAGCACCTTTCATCTGGAAGAACAGCAGATGGAGATTAGGAACATCAAAAACTTCTATGAAGTGCATTAGTTACAAACAAAAGAAAACAAAACAAAACAAAAGAAGTCTGAAAAAATACTTTTAAATATAAAGGTTCCCAGACAGAAAGAGTAATATTTATGTGTATTCAGAATAGAAATTCTAAAAAATGGAGGAATATAGACTAAAAGCCATAAAATCCTGATTTTTCTAGATGGCAAGTATACACAGTCACCCACAGAAAAGCAAGATCTACACAACTATTATTTCACAATCTTCAGCCACTGTGTGTGAGAATATGCAACGTAAACTACATTCTCAGTTACACCCAGATAGCCTCACTGAGAAGGCATAATTTAATCGCAGTCAACTGATATACAATGAATAAAAACTGCAGCCAGAGACATCATGCAAATAATCTGCAGGACACAAAGCTCATGGAGGTGTAACTGGTAGAACAAAGTAGACTTCAGGTTCCTCTGTTCTTGACTGCTTGTTCTGGAGACGTCAATTATCTGAACTGAGGTTGCAGGAATACTTTCTAGCAGCGATACTGCTGAAAAGTAGAACAGCTTATTCCCGAAACAAATTTACTCAAACCACTGTTTTAATTTTTCATAGCCAAAAAAAGGACAGCATGCTGCTGGAGTTGAGATTTATAACAGCTAATGGAAAAGAAACACCTCAGGTGAATGACAAAAATATGTCTTTATGAGCCTTGTGCATTTCAACCGGATACAAAACATTTTCTATAAATTCAAAATGTTGCTGTGGGTGTAGTTTTGATTCTTAATGTGTATGCTATTGCTGGGCTAAAAGCTCAGAAAAAGGTCAAACTTCCACGGTTCACTCTGCTGTTGAACTTTATTTAGCTGAGTAGGTTAAGTGAACAACACATGTATATAGGTTGATTAGCAATCATTTTTGTGAGAATTAATATTGCCCAGCCATCTGCTGTACCAATATAAGGACAGTGATCTTGATGGATTAAATCCTAGTCACATTTAATATGCTTTGCTATACAAAAGAGTCAGACATTTTCAATGCTTTGGGACATTGAAGATCTGATGAAATCTACAGAATAAAATAATCTACTCTGGTTGTTGAGCTTTCATTTCATTTTCTTTTTAAACATAGTGCAGTGCCGTAACAGCTATTGTATGGATTGATGTTAGTTTGTTCATCTTAAATTGCAGGGTAGGGTAGTATTAGTGAAGCAAGTTGCTTCTTATGGTAGCATCCACAGGAGGGGACTAAAAAGGATGGATGTTCTTTGTTTTCCTTTGGAATAAACATATTTCTGTGCTTTGAAACCCCTTTAAAGGATATGTTTCCAGTGATTAGTGAGGATTTCACATTTTCTTATCCATCTCAGGGCTTCAGGTGGTGTGGTCTCTATATCTATCTTTGCTCTGAATTCCATAAGCACTTTATAGTGTCATATCATCATAGCTAGTCTCACAACATCTGAGGTGGCTTGCAGTAATCTCTGAGGGACTGAGGAAAGGAAAACAGGGTGTTTCCCAATCATGCTCCACTATAAAATGGCATTTTTCAGAGTCTGTTTTATGTTCTTCTGTGCAGCTCAGTCCTAAAGATAGATTTCCTACAAGGAACGCAGTTTGGGGCATTTTGTGTCTTTAAGATTGCTATATGATGTAAGTGACAGTGAAAAACCCAAACTTCTAAGTTTTTCATACACTTTTTGATACAAAAATGTCAAACAAATGAAAACCTCCCTTTCCATCAAACAATAAAGTGTTTTTTATTCTGGGTTATTTTTCTAATCTAAAACCCATCGCAGTACTGAAGTGCATTGCTAAGCCACATGGCCGCCTGGAAAAAGAATAAATGAGTCAGAATTTCACAAGCACACATTCATTTTAAGTGTCGAATGCCAAGACATTATCACTTACTCTCACCTCACTCCTGCTGTCATTTCATTGCCCGTGTGAACACAAGCTGCAAAGGATTAGCTTTAAGTTAAAGTAATAAAATTCAACCTGCTTCTCAAGCTCACACAAAGCGTAGGAGACAGTCACTCACTGGGCCTGACTGTGGCATTTAAAGAGGGGAAAATAAAACAGCTAGAAAAGTTCTTGAACACCCACATCACTACAAACCTCTTCTTTTGTCCCATCTGAAGGATGGAATTTGCAAAGGGAGCAGCACTCAGTGAGAGTCATTTCAGGGAGGGCAAAAGAGTTGGTAAAGGAAGAGGCACTATTTACCCAAACACAGTTAAAATGAGAGTCATGCTTGATTCCAAGATATTCATCACAAACTGAGTTATCTGTCACCATAGCAGCTTACATAAACAGGTATGAATTTGCTTCTCCTGTGCTAGACAGTGACTGCTGATGCCATCAGTAGGTCAGAGGCAACGCTAGGAAGATCACCCAGCAGGTAAAGGGGAAAACCGATCAGAGACATGACATGGATCCTCATCTACCCAAGGAACGGTAATTTCCACCCTTACACTCTGAGCTGATCTATAACATAGGCTGTCACTTACACACACATTCCAAGTCTAGAGACAATGATGTATATCTAAAACATCAACTACTTTCTTCACAAAAACATCCAGCGAACCAGGGACACTGGTCTTGCCTTATGTGCTCACAGGATGTTGGTGAATTAGGACTGAGCTAAATGCCTAACATAACCCTTGAAAGATTTTATCCTGACAAGTTCAACATAAGTCATACCACCAGGAAAGACTGAATGAAAGGGGAAACTGACCTATAGTTTCTTGAAAGAAAACAAAAAAAAAACAAAGCAAAAGACCCTTCTTTGCTCACAGGAGAAAAAAAAAAAGATAAAACAAAAGAAAACAAAAAAGAAGAAAGGAGTTATCAAAAGGAATTAAAAATGAAGTCAGTCCTTGAAAGAGAAGTTGCATTGAACCGTTAGCAATACACAGACCTTCCTCTTGAAAATTTCTGAAGTATTGTCTGTTAAATTTTTAATATGATTGTTTCCCACTGGATTTCAGCTGATTCACACACTAGATGTTGCTACTTCCTACTAAAGCTTGGTTTTTATTCTCTTAATAAAATTGTATCTTGAAAGGCAGACCCCTGAGACCTCAAAATGTATTACTTTAGGTGAGCACCA